AGGAACGCGACCAGGAGGATCACTGCGGTGGCTCGACTGATGATCAAAGTAGACTGGTTCAGTTGTGCTGGTGTAATCTGTGTATGCGTTGAACTGCTACTCAAAGCAGAATAGAAGGCACTGGGAATCAACAGACCGAAGCCTGCTACCAGCAACAGCCCGGATCCTACTTCACTCACGGCTTCATGAAATGACTGCTCCTCCCGCGTAATACCACCAAAAAAGAAACAAAGGCCCAAGCAGAGTAAGAGATTTGCCAGCACAGAACCCAGAATCGCAGCCTGGATGACTGGGATGAGGTCGCCGTTTCTATCATTATGAATCAGAACCATAAAGAGAACAATCTCCACCACAGAGCTTAGTGTTGTCTCCAGGAGGACGCCAAACACTTTAGGTAGCTTCTTCGCAAGCTCCCCCCCGGCAAACCCGAGCAGATTAGCGGAGGGTACCATAGCTATGTAGTTGAGGGCGAACACCCAAACATGCAGGTCTGGCCGTGCAAAATGGATGGCGATAGCAGCTGGGACAAATGGCCAGAGCACGTTGACAAGCATGGACAAGGTACACGTGCTTCGCAAACAGACCCGTAGGAAGTGAACGGGGTGAATACCAGTTCGGCCGCTTTCTCCCGCGGTATCGATGCGAAACAACCCATAGTGTCGTTTACGGGGTTGTTTATTATGCGTAGGAAGCACTGTACTGTCTTGCGACCCGACAGCCACGTGCATAGGATCTGGCGATAGGACCCCGAGGGCACCTTGAGGACCTTCCCGTCGCCCGGATTGCGGACGCTGGCTCATGTCGCTGTAAATCGCGTAAATCCTGAGGGCCGTGTACACAAGCGCCCTTAGTTGATATTCACCAACCGCGTGCTGAAATTTTATGTTCTATGTTATGGTAAAGGGGAGGAGGGTATAGAAAGACTAGGCTCGCACGTCTTATTACTGACGAACAAGAGCTGACATGATCATGAACATCGGAAGCCGGAGGTAAAAAGGAGGCAAAGAGGAGGCAAAGAGGCGGCCAAGAGGGAAGTAATCCTCAAAAAGATATGCAGGTAGTCTTCGAGACTGGGGCATGATGGGCTAGAAGTCCGCGCATATATACATATAGGAAATGAAGATTTGAGACCTCAAGACCAAACAAGGGTCTTGGCAAATGTGTTGGCAGCTGGCGAAAGGTCGATCGTACATAGTATGAAGTCTAGTTCTATCCTGGTCCCACGCGGCTGGATAGTACTGTACAGTACTCCGTAACTTACTTCAGACTAGTAAGTTACTCCTGTGGTCTAGCCTTCTAGATCGGATCGGGCTCAGACAGTCAGCTCCAGCTGAGCACTAGCCGGACCAATTTTCAAATACTTTTTAGTTGATCAATCGTGCCTACACAAGTTAGTTAGGTAATATAAGTGCCGGTGAGAGTTCCTAGAATGGTCATAATTATTGTCCAGCTTTGTTTTCCCGAGAGCACTCCGTTGCTAAAGTTTTGAAGCCGAACAGGTCAAACGCCAGTGGGCGGACCTTTGAGCATACTCAAACTTGGTTGGAGTAGAAGCATCTCGCAACGTACAGTACAGTTGTACAGTACAGTACTGTAACCCAGTGGTGCCCGCCGCCAAGATGAACACAGCCACAGCAGCAGTGCCCAGACTCATCCCGTATCCATACAGTACATATATAAGTTTAATACGGAGTGAACACTTGATTACTCATATTGTGAAAACAGGCTCTTTGTCCATGATAAGCCTGAGCTGACCTCGAGGAACTCAACTGAGTAAAACTGAGCGTGGGCTCCTGGATCTGAAGATGAGCATGTTCTGCACGCCATAATGAGTATGCTTACCTATTTTACTGTTGAGCTGGAAATGAATGTCTGACAGAAGTCCAGCCGACGGCTACGGCTACCGTCGGACGATAGGAGGGATGGGAAGAGATTACGAGATTTTTATCCGGATTTTCTCATAGTTATTCCCTTCCCATTCCCTCAATTTTGCTACTTTTCGCATTTCCTGTCTTTGTCTTGGTGTGTGTTTAGACTTATCCCACAGAGTACAAATTTCAATCTCCCTTATTACTTTTGTTCCTTCTCAATCGTGATCCCTTAATATCTTCCTACCCTTCCCCTCTCGCATTATCCGGAGTCGGCGCTCTTCTCTCAATCATCAGCTATGTCCTCTATAACCGCTCCCGCCGTTCCTCCGGTGGCCCTCGAGACCATCACTCAGCACATTGGTAATACGCCTCTAGTACGGTTGAATAGGATACCGCGCAGCTTGGGCATTGAGGCCACGGTGTATGCGAAACTAGAAACTTTCAACGCAGGGGGAAGCGTGAAGGACAGGATTGCCTTGCGCATGATTGAAGAGGCAGAGCGGTCGGGGCGCATCAAGCCCGGTGATACTTTGATTGAGCCTACTAGTGGAAACACGTACGTCACCTCAAGCCTTCGCTGCATTTTTCTCTCCGGACAGCATGAGCCTAATTAGAATTTGTTTTTCAGTGGTATTGGTCTTGCTCTTGTCGCCGCTGTCAAAGGTGAGTCGTCTTGCTCGGACCATTTGACCCCAAGTCTCAGGTTGTCAATGTCTAACCCTTCTGCTGCGTTTGTATAAGGCTACAAGACGATCATCACTCTGCCCGAAAAGATGTCTGCTGAAAAGGTCGCTGTGCTGCGAGCCTTGAATGCCACCATCATTCGTACACCCAACGAAGCTGCTTTCGACTCTCCCGAATCTCACATCGGTGTGGCGAAGCGCCTTGAGAAGGAGCTTCCGAACGCGCACATATTAGATCAATATGGCAACGAGAACAATCCGTTAGCACATGAGTTAGGGACAGCTGAGGAAATCTGGACCCAGACGCAAGGACAGATCACGGCAATCGTTGCCGGTGCAGGAACCGGCGGAACTATCACCGGTCTAGCTCGGGGCTTAAAAAAACATAATCCCAGTGTTCAGGTCATAGCTGCTGACCCTCATGGTTCGATCTTGGCTCTCCCTGCTACGTTGAATCAGGAGCATCTTAATGAGCCCTATAAAGTGGAAGGAATCGGCTACGACTTTATTCCCGAAGTCCTGGATCAGAAACTCGTCGACAAGTGGTACAAAACTGCTGATAAGGAGTCTTTCCAGTACGCTCGTCGCCTAATTGCAGAGGAAGGGCTTCTTGTTGGCGGAAGTAGTGGTAGTGCCATTGCGGCTTTGGTTCAGGCCGCCAAAGACCAGAGATTCGGCAAGGATGATGTGGTAGTTGTAGTCCTACCGGACAGCATCAGGAGCTACCTTACTAAGGTATTTCAATGTTTCCCATGCAGCTATCCAAGGTGGTCATTATTCTAACTGATTATAGTTTGCGGATGATGACTGGCTTGCTGCGAACGGGCTCCTGGCAGCTCCCGCCACTGATGCAGCATCTTTGTCTCCAACGCTAAAGCCGCAAGGACAACAAGATGCATTTTCCGGCTCGAAGGTCAAAGCTTTGAGACTCAAACCGATTACCACGGTTCGGTCGAACATTCCATGTGAAACCGCCATTGAGATGATGCGTGACAGAGGTTTTGATCAACTTCCTGTCTTGGCAGCCTCTGGGAAGAAGCTTGTTGGGCTTCTCACCTTAGGCAACATCCTGAGTCGGCTTACCCACGGACGTGCTACAGGGAAGAGCCCTGTGGCGGATGTTATGTTTGATTTCAGCAAAATACCTGAAGTTGTCACAGATCCCAGAGATATGGGCATGGCGAAGCCCCAGAACGCGCAACAGATAATTCAGATCAAGAACCGGAAATTTGTTGAGATCACCATGGAAACGCCCCTCGGTGTGTTAAACCGATTCCTGGAATGGAACAGTGCAGCCGTTGTTACCGAGAGAGGCGAGAACGGAGCAATGAAGCCAGTAGCAGTTGCCACGAAAGTCGACCTGCTAAGTTGGATGCTTCGTCACAAGGAGAGTGGCGCTTCAGAGTCTCAATAGAAACAGTCCTCTCACATGCTGTCTGTCTTGGCGCGCGATTTCGTCTGGGCTATTTTCCCCTCTTTGCTAATAAGCCTAGGCCTGCTATTACCATCGGCCGCTATACTATTATATCCTTAATGAATAACGGGGAGTTGTGGAGTATATGGTGGAATCTGTGGAGATAGTTCCAAGACTGAGAAACGAAATATGACCCTTTTTTTTCCTCTTTTCTAGGTTTAAGTTCACATGCTGTTGAGTTGTATAGGGTTGGCATTACCTTACAGAGCCAGAACTACAATTGACCACATCAGCGATCGCCAGTTGTTGCAATCTTCCTGTACGAGATGTAATTTGGTATAGCTCTTAGAAGATACCTTCCAATACTGGCACTATGGTGTGTACTCTTTATTGCGATAGCATTTCAGATTGATAAACTGCCAGTTCAACTCACAGAGAAATCTGGCCTTCAATGAGAAGACTGTTTCAGTGACGGCAAATCTTTTCTGGCAAGTCAAACCTGAAATCTACCACCATCTCAGTAGGATCAAATTAAATCATGAAAGTAGTCGGACTGTACAGCTAGTACCTGTTCAAGGTGCCAGAGGGTGCTCTGGCACTAATCATTGTTGTAAGGCCCGCAAGTACTGCAGCTTGCATGCTAACGTTAAAGCCGGATACTCTGATCTGTGATTATAATAACACTCTCATCTCAAATATATTCTGACTAAGAAAACCCAAGACCTTGAATATCGTTCCAGGGCCAGCAACATTGATATAATGTTTGGATCAAGAATCACGGTCACCAGTCCCGATCGCAAGCTTGAGCTGAATATGTTTATCATGTATTAGGCACAATTTCATCATGTTTCAGCCCCCGTGAACTTATAGGAGAACACATTCAAGACGAGTTTACCTCAGCTAGTCGTCTAGCTTTGGAATAAAGGACCCTGTCCAGGACTGATGCTACACTTCCATCCCTGAAGCTTATTGCGAATCGCGATATAGCTGAGAACATCAGCTGCACGTAATATCTGAAAGCAAGCTGGCCCCCTCCATTATACTCTTGCAACGACCCAAGATCACCGTTTCTATACACGACAGACGCTAAAGCTAGATAAGGCTAGGACTTCAATAGGCAAGACATGACAAAATATCCTTGAGCAAGTGAACAAATTGGTCAAGAACCATCCCTACATCACTCATACCAATTCTCTCAACCTTTCCTGCACATCATATTTCAATGCTGTTCGATGCCAACCTAAAGGAAATGATAGAGGGGTGCATACACATATGATCACTAAGGCTGTTCTTCCCATCTCTTTGTCCAGTATATTGACAAAGTATGCCCATTGGCTCATGTGACTTCTGGGACTGATGACATCTCGCCGGCAATGATAGACCTCCTTACAGGCATTGACCTATCCATTCCTCCCATTTGCGCACACCAGATCCAAGATTGCTCTCCTCATCGCCCATGACTGCTCCTCCGACAACGTCTACTACTATACCGACTTCGTCTTTCAAAGACTGGAACGAGAATCTATCGCGAGGGTCGCTGCTGCCTAGAATATCGTCTTCACTGTCGGCAAGGCCAGCGTCAACACTAGCATCCAAAAGATTTTTGCTCCGAGAGCTCCGGAGTCTACTAATCTCATCCTCCAATTTCTCCCGCACGGATCCAGGCGGTAGGGCGGTGAAGAGGTCTTGTTTGTTGGCAGCCACAAGCACAGGAACTCCAGACGCTGCTTTCTTTCCCCCACTCAAAGCACGTCTCTGAAGGATCAAGAGCACATCGTACAAGTAATTGGCTGTATCCCGTAGGATTTCGGGATTGGCAAGTACTGCGGTGTCCACCATGTACAAGACTCCACGCAACTTCGACTTCGCATCCTTTGAGGCCGACATGGAGAGCAACTGCGAAATAGCTTGGGATTCACGGAGTTTTCCATGACCAGGAGTGTCCATCAACCGATATTTGACCGGGTTTTTGGCAATATCCCTCAACGAAGTGTCATTCACCGATCTATAGCGATTTGATGCGGTCGATACTGAGGCGGGAAGGCTGATGGTAGCCGCAGTAGATGTTTGGGACGTATGAGTGACTCGAATATCTGTACGAGCAGGAGACGACTTTGCTTCGAGCTGTTACTCATGAGGAGTGTGTCAGCTAGACGTGGGGGGGAGAGAAAGAGCCTTCAAGGAAGTCAGACCAGAGTCAAGAGAGCGGTCTTTCCAGCCCCATTAGGGCCCAAGAGCAAGAAATTGCTAGACGGTGGAGATGCAACCGTTCGGTAAAAGAGAAGATGCAATAGCACGGGCAGTCCAAACGCGATGAAGACCGTAATAGCAATCGCGATAGGGCTGCCGTCGAGCAAGCTAGTAGCTATGCCTTCTAACGAAACCCAATCCCCGTGCGAACGCATTTCGATTGGATGCGCCCGTGGGATAGAGGTATCTCTAGGCAGTTGAGACAAAACCTTTGGGGCCGTGACAAAGGAGGAGCGCAGTGGTTGAGAGCAGGAAAAGAGGAGGAGCAGGGCGGAGAGATACGAGTGAGCAATTAGAACATACGTAGCTAGATGGATAAGATTAACTCGACTGGAGTGGGCCCTTTCACAACCGACGCTAAGACCGCCTTCATCCGAAAGGGTCAGGAGAGTTCTCAACCACCGTTCCATAGTCTACTTGGTAGTCCAGTCTACCTACCCTGGTAGTCAGGTACGTATACCACGCTTGGTACAGTAGGTAGCAAGATCAAAGCTGGAGGTAAGCTTAGTGGGTTTCCTAGGGGAGGGAGTGATGACTATAGGTTGGTACCTGTCCATATTCAAGAAGTATCATTACTCGACTATACAACCCTCATTGAAAAGTTCATAAGAGATGGGGTTAGTGTACGGAGTATGAAGTTTAATCATGGAGAGTACAGTACGTACTAGGATGTCAATATTTGACTACCTGACGGCCATGATCCCACTACGTGCCCTGTTCCTTTTCGGGAGCGCGTTCCTTGCTGCCAGCCAGGTGCAGAGGGAGCCAGCATACCGTCGATTGCAGGGGCAACGCAAGGGCGCGTCCAGTTCTCAACTCATCAAGTCATTCTGTTTGTTCAATCTCTGTCTTCCAACTTAATGTTACAGGCGAACTCGCAGAATCATCGCCCTCTAAAAAACTGAGCTCCCCTTGTGTTTGTTTCCAATTTCCCTCTCTCTCTCTCATCACACTATGATGGTCAGGCACTTGATATTGTTCCTTCTCGCTGCGTTGTTTCCACAAGCACTCGCAGATGTGGAGTTTGTGATTCCAAAATCCGGTGCCGTCCTACAAATCGGGGATGTTCTTATGGCCCAGTGGAGAGAATCAGGAAGGCTTCCCCCGATCACTGACCTCCTACACTACGATCTCTATCTCTGCGCCGGCGGGGAGGTAGCGGGCACTTATGTGGGGCTCCTGTCTCTACACATGATTTATGTATCTATCGGAAGTCGACTGACCACTGCGGGTGCTGCAGGAAGATGTAGCTCTGCTGTCGAAAGGAAACGTTTTTGCGAGGGGTAACTCAATATCCTTCACGCTCGACCCCAGCTTGAGGGAGACGGATGCAAATACATAGTAAGGAGTATATAGCAGGGTGCATCTGCTGTGCCACGCCATACCATCGAGTGATAATGGGCCCCCCATTGCTAACTCTGCCATCATTGACAGCTTTCTAAAAATTGTCTCTTGGGGCACGGGTGCCTCCGTCATAAATGTTTCTGAGCAGTTCACTATAACTAATATGACCGGTCCTGTCTCAACATCTGTCTCGCACAGCTTGCCTCCCACAATTAACGACTCCGCACTTTCGGATTATGAAATGTCCAGACATCATGAACTACGAAAGAGACAAGTAGAAGAGGCTCTTACAGTCCCATATCAGTTGCAGACCGGGCCTACCAGATATGCGCCAATGGCCAAGAAGCCTGCAAGCACAATTCCAGCCAAATTGCCGACTCCCCAATTTGCGGCAAGCGCATATACCATCGCCACAACATATCTCCCCCCAGCAACCGTTCAGGTCACCCTCTCCGCCTCTGTGACATACTCCGTGGCCAGTATTGAGAATACTGTATGTTTTGAGATGTTGCTTGCCCTGGCAGATGTCCTCTCAAGTGTGGTGTGACCTCGAAAATTGAGCTAACGGGATCCTGTACAGGCCTCTCCCGCACCACATTTGCACGACGCACAGATGAAGCGATTCTTAGAAAGATGGAAAGACTAAATTCGAAGTCTCGTAACAGTGTTCAGCACCATCTCAAGAGACGTTGATCTCCCCATCGTATTGCTCATGTCTCAATCGCTGATCGGGTCATTACCGAGCACGTCTCGTGCACCTTCCGGGCAACCAGCTTCAAAGGTTTATAAGATTGACCGGAAATTGCCCATGTTATGATAACGATAAACGGTCGTTCATTCACTAATCAATCTGGAATCAAGAAAGACCAGGTAGATCATGATATCGTTGCGAGATCGCATCAGTAACTCTTGTCAATTACATAAAACTAGGTAACCTTAGCCAGGAATGGTAGCACCATGATATTCAGTCTAAGTGAGCTTTTCGGCGCAGCTGTATTGCTTGATTATTAGAATGGGAGAGGGGGAGGAAAGGCTAGAATCCTACGGAAAATAGGGTGTTCAAGTGTTCGATGAATGTAATGAACAAACTCAGTACCAGCGTCTAGCTTGAAACTTTGGTGGGATCTACCGGCCTGAGCTGTCATCGATCTGCAAAAAGGCAATATTCTCACGGAGCGCCACATATTCACTATCGGCATACCCGAGTAGAGTTTGGATTTGTGTGCTCCTGTGACCCTTAACGCGTTCAATCTCGATACTGCCATAATTGACCAAGGCACGTCCAACTTCCTTGGGCTCTTGTCCATGATGAAGGAATTCGCCATCGAGAGAGTCGGGAGAAACCTTTCCAATCACGACTAACCTTACCACTTCTTGTTGAGAGAAGTGACCTTCCACCCCGATTACACCGGCGGGTAGCAGACTGGCCTTTTTCTGAAGAGCACTATATGCGCCGTGGTCTATATAGACTGTACCACGAGGCTTCATTCCGTGAAGAAGCCAAAATGATCGGGATTGTATCGGATTCTCTGATGGAATGAATCGCGTGTGTAGCGGAGGCGAAGCTCGAGAGCTGCTTGATACCTTAGAGCCCTCGACTGGCTCGGCCACTGCATCTGTTACAATAGACCTTCGACTCTGCTGTTGGAGATAATTGACAATATCATGCACATTTCCGGGCTTCGAACTCTTGGTGATGATGGTCGTTACACCAGCACTAGTTCCAAGCTTTGCGGCGACGATCTTGGTACTCATACCCCCGGTACCTAAAGATGATCCAGCCGATGATACATCTGCTTCCAAGGTTGAAATATCCGTGACAACTTCGATAGGGCGCGCATCGGGATTTGTACGGGGATTGGCAGTATAGAGACAATCAACATCCGTCATCAGGAAGAGGTAATTGGCCTTGACCATCGCTGCTGTGATCGCTGATAGCGTATCGTTGTCACCAAATTTGATTTCCTGGTAAAGTGAGCATGACATTCCGCGACGCAATGGGTGCGGACAAAGGGTCAACCTACGGAAACAGCCAAAGTGTCATTCTCATTGACAATCGGTATTACACCCATATCGAATAGTTGCGAGAAGGTATTTTGAGCATTTATGTATTGTGTTCTCTATTGTCCTGTTAGAGATGGCGAACATTCTCGTTAGTGGACAACGATGCTTACATCGGCAATATCGTTCCTAGTTAACAGGATTTGCGCAACTGGGAGACGCAGGTGCGCAAACAGACCATCCCAGAGACTCATCAGCCTACACTGACCAACGGCAGCCAATGCCTAGAACACCATGGTCAGTACTTGTGAATCTAACGCCTGCACAAATCAATTCCGTATTGTATACCTGTATCCGAGGTAAGTGTTTAGGTCTCTCTTCCACATCCATCCTTCGCAAACCCACACCAACAGCGCCCGACGAAACAAGAACAACATTATGACCTTCTTTGTGAAGCTTGGAAACTGTTTCGACTATGAGCGTAAGGATGGACAGTATAGGTTCATGGGTGTTCTCGTCTACTATGGAACTGGTTCCTGCGCATCAAGTTCTCGTTAGTTTCTGCCTTCGGTCAACCATTGCATAATCCGCACCCAGCTTGATGACAATGGTCAGACGCTTAGAGACCATTGTGATTTGAGACTCAAAATATTGAATGCTCAGCTCCCAACCATGACTATTGCACAGTGCTACTGTGGGGCGTCAGAAGTTGTTAACTTGGGCTCTAGTTATTGCTGTGAGTCAGCTGCAATGACCCGCAAAGACACCCTTTTCTGTCACTACTCACCGCCCATATGTACTGTACGGAGCTTGCTGCGGAATCAACTGTCGAGAGCATACAAGGACAAGCGAATCTTGAATAGCAGGATATCTAGCTATATTCCTGTTCCAGTACTCATACAGGATGACGGAATCTCGGGCAAATGACACTTCATCAAAGCATAAAACCTCTAAAGACAGTGGCTTCATTCCTGGCGACGACACCTGGACGCAATGGCGCAATGTCTTCGCTATCCTGACCGATAGAATGACCGATGAGGGCAAAGAACAATTCCGTGTTGCGCGTGACACACGGAATGAAGCTGCAGACTGCAAGCGCTGTGAGGATCAGCGAGACTACCTATTGCAATTCAGTGAGTCACATCCATGCCTGCCTGCCTGTCTGCCTGCCTGCCTGTCTGCCTGCCTGCAATGAAGATACATGGATTCAATGTTGTAAACATCCCGCTGATTGAATTCTCTTAAAGGTCCGGTGATTCGATTCATGAGCGACAGCATCCGCCAGCTAGGTGGTAATCTTTCCAGTCATAATATCTACTGCCGCCGATGTACCAGTCGAAAAGCAGGGGGGTTTGATCCCGACTACGGTATTCTGCTTTGCGCAAATGAAATGAAGGACCAGAGCCATTTAGAAGATACATTAGCACATGAGATGGTCCATGCCTATGATCACCTCAGGTTCAAAGTTGACTGGTCAAACAATCTTAGGCACGCTGCTTGTACAGAGGTAAAGAGCCATACCCTCAAGCCACCTGCGCCATCGGGTTGATAGAAAATGACTAATCGTGAGTAGATTCGAGCCAGCTCGCTGAGTGGGGAATGCAGATGGGCACGAGAGTTTTTCCGAAGGGGTCAATGGAAACTAACACAGCAGCACCAAGAATGTGTACGGCGAAGAGCGGTCTTGTCGGTGCGGGCACGGCCAGGATGCAAAGATGAAGCCCACGCCGAGAAGGTTGTAAATGAAGTTTGGGACAGTTGCTTTAGAGATACTCGCCCCTTTGATGAGATCTATCGCTAGTTACGGATGTCTGTTTCCACCAAAACTCTTCCTCGAAGTGTGTGCCGTATGTTTAACTTAAAAGTCCAAGTGCCAGTAAGACCGATCAAAACTCCATCGCTAATCCAGGAAGACCAGCATCCATATTGACAGTAAACGCCATTGTAATCAATTCCGTGGTTGTGGACCATGGCAATGTGAAGGGAAAACATTACAGAAGGGGTAAGATCTTCTAAATCCGAAAACGCCCTGAAATGCCCGGGCAGTACAGTCATGCTTTGACATCCTTCGATGTACCAGAACTCCGCTTCGTTTCCTTAACACAATGCTTGAGAATCCATGGATGACACTGAATCTCATCCAAAGAGATTCGCCTGTCTGGGTCGATTACCAGTAACTAAAAGGCTGTTAGAAAGGTTCGGCTAGGATACGGGACTTCTGCATACTCTCTTGATTAAATCTTTTGCTTCTGGACTCACAAAGGACGGAACGGTCATGTCGGCTCTTGCAATTCTTCGCTGCGTCATGACAGGTGTATCTTCAAAGGGCGCTTCCCCAACTAGGAACTCGTATGTCAAGACACCGAGACTCCAGAGATCAACCTTCTCATTGTAGTAATTGTCCTGAGATCCGGGTTTAAGCATCTCAGGAGGCAGGTAGTCCAGTGTCCCGCACATTGTCTGCCTCCTATTGTTAGGTGCATGAACACTCCACCCAAAGTCACTGATCTTGATTTCACCATGAATCCCAACAAGAATATTTTCTGGCTTGATGTCTCGATGCATGACGTGCTTTTTGTGCAAGTATTTCAAAGCAGCAGCCATCTGAGCAATGTACTGCGCAGCCTTCCACTCAGGGAATCGATGTTCTTTTCGGAGATGCTTGTACAGTTCCCCTCGCCCGGCAAACTCAAGGATAAGGAAAATCCGTTTGCTATCATGGAAGTGGCCATAGAGCCTCAAGACGTTAGGATGACGAAGGTTGCTTTGTATCTCGATCTCTCGTCGGACTTGCTTCTGCACTCCACCCTGCTGCAGCTCGGATTTATGCAGTACCTTGAGTGCACATACAAAACCAGAGGATCTCTCCTTGGCGAGGTAAACTCGACCGAACTTTCCCTTCCCTAAAGGTTTGCCAATCTCAAACATTCCCAAGTGTAACTTTTTGGGGGATGGTTGGTCGTAGAGTGGGGTTGGGTGTCGTTGCTCCCCATTCTCGTCGAGATTACGGTGTGATAGCGTACTCTGAGAACTCTTGACTGGTGACAAACTGATGTTCATTGCATTCACTTTATTTTCATTGGTGTTCTGCAGAGCCAGCTTGAGCAAGTTGGATCGGCTGGCGCCATTATATTGTCCGGCACTTGTAGGGGGCATGGCTGTTGATAGTGTGCTCTGTCAAAATCATTAGCAGCGTCCACCAAAAACGAGGCCTAGATAATATGATTACCTTAGACTTTTGATAGGCGCCGCCATTTTGCACGCTCTCGTGTTCTTCTTTGACTGAAAGACGCTCAAGGCGCGCTTCAAGTGTCTTGGTAGCCATTTGCTAATGAGTGTGAAGCAGGTATGACTTTTGCGATGGAGGTCTAAAACCTAGCAGCTCAATGTCGTGTCGACAAAGTCTTTGATCTTCATAAAGTTTCTGGCTCAAGCTCACAATGTCGGAAACCACATAAGATGAGAGTTGAGTACCAAATCGCATTGAATAACAAGTCGAAGTTGAGTGAATCCACAATCGCACGGGTGTTTATCAGTTTCAAGGATATGATCGGTCGCCCCAGCAACTCGTCGGTCCGCCTCTCCCTCCGACATCCGCGGGGTATGACCTGCTTCACTCTGGGGGAGCGAATAGCTGCTCAGACGAATTATACACCGACTGGAGGCTTCTTTGATACAGAATGAACATTCTCAGTTGCAAGCCTCCCGGCGAGGCGGATACGACCGCAATCTCGCCGCTTCATCGGAGGCCGAAATCAATAGCAATCCAAGGCTTCACGGTCACTACTCAAACACTCCCGATATTAAAATCAGAGCCCATAGAGAAGATGACGAAGGATTTAGGGATCGCCCCTCCAGAAATGATTTTTGGCGACAACTTTGTTGAAATTGCGCATGAGGGGACTCCATGGAAAATTACATTCAATGCATTCGATGCCTTGGATCGAGTTGATAAATCTGGTGAATCCATGCTACAAGTCGCTTACTCGGAGCAATGGCAAAAGAGCAGGTAATCGAATAAACCAATTTCTATCAAGCGATCTTGCGCAAATCTCAAAGTAGTGGTCGAGGCTAACTTCTTCTAGAGAAAGAGCTCATGAGGGTATCAAAGAGATCGTCAAGCCCTTCGACTGGTCTTACAGCACGGACTACACGGGGACACTCGGCCCTGGTAGTCGACCGTTTGACGCAACGACCAAACGTATACCAACTGATCTACTCAAGCGGCCAGATCCGATTCTGTTCTATGATGACGTGGTTCTTTATGAGGACGAACTAGCTGACAACGGTATCTCCATGTTCTCATGTAAAATACGTGTTATGCCGGCTAGACTCCTGCTGCTCGCCCGCTTCTTCTTGAGACTCGACAATGTTCTGTTTCGACTCAGGGATACAAGGATCTATGTTGACTTTGGTACTGGGGAGGTAATTCGAGATTATCAGTCCAAAGAATGCGATTATGAAACGGTGAGACAGGTAGGTTGCTACGTCGCTTTTCATGCTATAATATGGTTAATGAGTTTTTCAAGGCTCTGGCCTTATCGAGGGACGATGTCCCAGCCGCTATGAGGGACCCCAACAGACTCTCAGACTTCCTCCGCCTTGTTGACACACGTCTAGAGAGGGCTGTCCTTGTGGCCAACTGACAAGCCTGGGTTCAGATCCAATATAACCCCTCCGCGCCCTCTTCCCCTTCCCCTTATACTCAGGAGGATGCCTCGTTCTTAGATTTCTATAGCCCTTCTATAATGAGACCAGCTCGGGGTATACAATCTGTACATATTGGATTCTCCGTATTGTTGACCTGTAGTTCTTCCCATCTCACCTACAGCTGCATCTGGTAAATTGACATATACGTATGTCATTACTTATCGAGCGAAGCCTTGGAGCGCGGTGTAATATGAGCGATCTACAAGGACTCCACAGATAAAATCATGATCCAGCGGTAAGCGGAGTATGCCGAAATTCTCTATTCATATTTCCTAGCAGTAAATGGTTACTCGTGGTATTTGAAATCCTGTACTCGAATATGGGAGGCCGACTGGCTATTTTATTTATTCGTGATTACTAAAAAGCAAGGGGAGTGCAAATGGTGCAAACGCGGATGCCAATCTATGATGACAATGAGCTCTATCTCAAGCAAACTGCGAACTTTTTACGCATGATACATGCTTGGTTTTCTGGATACCAGTAGCATGCAAACCCTCAAAATGCCGTCCAGTGCAATAAGATCCATACAGACACAGGATCTGTGTCTGCTGCAGTATTCAAAATTCAAGGTATGTTTTACAAGACGCCTGAACCGCTCAGATCATAGCCATTAAACCGAATCTCGTCAGGTTTTTTCTCCCAATAGACTATCTAGACCATGTCTAGCCTCTTATCGATCTATTTGCAGCGCTAGCAGTGTTACGCAACATTTGACTCACAATTCCTCGGTCCTGAAGAAGCGCTCTGCCAGCCAACTGCTTGAGCAGACCGCATACCCAGTGTCTGGGTTTCACTCACAAAGTGCTCGAGCTTCATCACAGCTAGCGCGGGCGATTGCTTCACGCCCTGGCACGCCTGCAGAGACATACGTTGCATATGGTCTGACTCAGAAGCTTTTTGAGGCCTGTTCTACCCAAGCAGAATACACTATACCGCAGTTAAACAAAAAAGGAGGACAGGTTCCCAAGACGGCTGCCGGGGAGGATCTTGGGGTAGGCGAAGGATGGTGGTATAAAGGTCGGTTTACTTTCCCATTCGGCGAAATCAATCTCCATCTTTTATTGACGGATGAATTTTTGCCAGAATTGGGGCTCTTGCCCACATTTTCCACATGGTCACAAGTCACTTTCCTGCACATGTACCTATTGACTGCCCGACTACGTGCTCTGCCATCACATGAAAGCCTTCAGACTTATTCACAACACTTGATCGACCACTTTTCGCACAACGCCGAGCATCGCATGGATGTACTTCATGGGTTGACCAGTCGTGCTATCAGGAATAAATTTCTCAAGGACCTATTTATTCAGTGGCGTGGTGCTTTGGCAGCTTACGATGAAGGCATAATCAAAGGGGATGCTGTACTCGGCGCTGCTATCTGGAGGAACTTGTGGAAAGCCGGTCACACCGCTCCCAACGGCGATGAAATGGATTGGGCCAAGGTTGCCCTTGTTGTCGCATATATGCGACGGGTGCTGCATGATCTCTCTCGCGTGAATGAGGCTGATTTGGCCCTTCGGTTAGGACGCGAAAAGGAAGGCCGGCCTGGTATATTCTCGTTCTCTCAGGAAGATAAGAAGCTGGTCTATGGGAAATGATTGGTTTGTTGGCCATGCATTCCAGGTTTGAACCCCTTATTTCGGCAGGCTGTAGATGTATTCTAATCAAATATTCTTCGTCGTTACTGGGTTGGTCTCGTCACTTTGATTATCGGCCATGTCCCGCCATGTCCGACGATTTCAGCGAACAATCTTTGGTCCAAACGGTTCAGAAGCCCTCTAAATGTAGATCAAAGTTGCATTACATGTGCGCCTGGTATGAAGAAACGGTTTCATCCACGTTACCAACCCCCCTGGGTCGCGTCAAATGATAAAAGCATGTTGACAGGATACCAGTATAATCAGGCATCTTTCTTGCCAAACAAGTCCTTCTCGACCATAGCGCGGCATATAGGATGATAGAAGGCCTTATTCTGCTCGAAGGTTTCAACAGCGACTGGGCGATCAATCTTCTGCAAGCTTCGATACCTGTAAATCAAATCAGCGCCCGAATCCTTCATTTGCGAATAGGTGGTCTGCGTACAAAGGCCGCACAAATTTCATCCTGCCAATCCTGCCGAGCAGTTTCGTTGTTGGTCCAATAACACTGCTGTCACCAGCTTTCAAGCCAACTTGGAAATAGAGATTGGCGACTTCTATGTTTTCGCTCTTTGCAAGTCCATAAATATCGCCCATGAGCCTCGACAACTCTGGTGTCAGTGGTCTCTCGAAGAGAAGCACTTGCTCCAGGAAGACAACCATCTGATTGGCTGTGAGATCATCGATATCACTAGGGTGTGGTTTGAAAGGGGAGCCAGGAAGGGCCTTCCACTTGTTTGAAAGGCTATAGACAACGTCAACTAGCGAAGTATCAAACTCCGGCTTAGGAGGCAAGCCAGGCGTATAGAACCATCCGTCCCAATCAAGCTCATTTAAGAGCTTGGAAGCTTCCGCGTCAGACTTGAAGAAATCTAGCATGGTCGATTTGAACTCGTAGGAGTCCAAGGATTTCTCCTTGAATACTGTGAAGTACTGTATCAAGAGAAATCAGAATGTGTGCATGATCTCTTCGCTGGGGCAACAGGCAAAATACATGAGGGATGAACTGGTCAAATTTATGCTTTCCAATCAGATTCTCCAGATAGAAAAGAAAGTTGAATCCCTTCTCATATGGAATACTGGAGAATGCATCATCAGGGTCTTTGCCTTTCAAATCTGTGACTAGTTTTGTGAATTCATGGTCATGTCCGAAATGCTCGACAGAATCTGTGAGCGCTTTCCAGCCTATAATAGCGGAAAAGTGTCGATACGACTCGCCATGACTTCGAAATAGTTAGCACTAGTAGAAATAGTACACGAGGCTCTAACACTTACACCACAGCGAGGATCTATATCAATAATGAAAAGGCGGGTTATACACTTTATCGGCAATTGGTAGATAAAGAAGTGGAAACGATTCGACTTACCCGCCTTTCCAAGTAGGTGGTCCAACCCTCATTGAGCCAGAAATGCTCCCATGAAGCATTGGTCACAAGGTTACCACTCCAGCTGTGCGCAAGCTCATGGGCAATGACATCGATGTTTTCCCTGTCCTGGTCATGAAAGTTAGCACCCGCAGGCAATTGATCGGATTGGAATCCATCCACAACACTGTACCTTGGAAATAATACTGGGTGTCGCGAAAGTGAAAACCGGGTTCTCCATTCCTCCGTAGGGGAAGCTGGGTGGGAGGATCAAGACATTGTACTTCCCCCAAGCGTATGGGTAGACAATTCCCTATGCCAGTGTTATAAGGAATAGCACCTGAATTCTGACTGCGTACACACCTCAATTGCTTCGATGAACTTCTCCGTATCGGCTTCAAGCTCCCATTGGCATTCGCCGAGCTTGTCGGGACTGCTAGCAACAATACTTCGGGGTCCAATTCCTGCCTCGGAAATATCACTGCGAATGGACGATTTAGTGATCCACTTATCAAAGCTGCTTCACACCGAGGTCTACCAGGCACGCTTACCCACTGGCCAGAGCGAAAAGATAGCTCGGAATGGGCACTCGCTGGTGAAAGCGATACACTGTCCTGTCGTTGGGGGGTGGCGTCTCCAATGAGTCACGGACTGGCAGCCCACTCGCAATCACGGGTAATGGTGACGAGATGTTGAAATCAATGGTCGACTTGACGTCAGGTGTATCTTGACACGGAAAGATAGACCGGGCGTGAATCGCCTGACATTGAGAGACTGTCGGAAGGACAAATATGCGGGGTTAGAACTTAGTAGACAGAGTGACACTCAGGCTTTCTCGCTGGTAGGACGGGCAGAAATCAACCCACACATATACGGATGCCTTTTATTAGAGGTTTGACCCGGGGTCAGCCACTGAAGGGCAGTGCATTTCTCAGTGGTTTGAAGAGCGATCTACGCAAAAGTTCTGTATGTTAGGCTAAGGCTGGGGTTACTCTCCAATAAGGTACATACCTCGATGTCGATCGTCTCATTCTTCTTCACACTCCGGTCAAGTTTGATCTTCAACGCCCTGCCGTAGGGATCGGAGGGCGGAAGAAGCTCCCAAGTCAAAGGCTTGCCATCAAGGCTGACGCTACCAATATCCACATGGTTTGAGTCCAAGACAATCTCCTGCGACTCACCATCGGTGGCTGACTGGAACGTCTGAGTGACGCTGCCCACGAGCTTTTTCTCATGAAAGAGAATATCAAAATTGGCAGTGATGTGGTTGCATCGCCAGTTGTGGTAATTGCTGAGGGTATTAGGATCCCTCGGGACATGGACGATGGTCGCCATGCTACAACGTGTGGAAGATCGAGAAATTTGAACACTCCGGGATTTCCAAATGAGGGGTCTGAAACCGAGAGTAGATGGAGAAGTGCGAATTGTTCCCCGCGAAAAGCTTGTTCGCCAGAGTAGGGCCAGAGCAACGCCGTGCATAACAAGAATAAATGAACGGCACTAGAAGAAAATATGCCTTAACGCAGTAAGTAATGTGTCCCTGCTACTCCCCCAGTAATATTGCTTTGGCAGTGGCGGCAACCGAATGCTCGTGGTTACGTGCTAGTAAAAAATACCCTAACATGAACTGCGCCGCAGGTAAGCGGCCTCTGATGTACTCGAGAAGGCAGCAATTCGGCCTTGAGAGGGGGCGGGTTACCAGACATCGGCAAGGGCCGGTTGTGGCCGGAGATTATGGCCATGGATACCGGTTGAATTTTCTATTGTTACGGGCATTGTATTTGAGAATACACGTCTAGACGCTACAAATGTTCTTGCATTAAATAGTTTTATATCTGGATATCACATGCGGGATCTATAGTTTAGTTCATACAGTTACAGTAAAGGTCTTATTTATAATTTATTATCAGTACTAGAAGCTATATTATAGGTCTGTAATTTATTTATGTATTTTTAAAAAACCCAATTTTTATTTTATCATTTTTATATACAAGCTAATTAGTTTTTATAAAAGAAGTTCTATATTATTATATATTACTGCACATAATACAGTTGGTTATGGCTTTTTAAATATCTTTATCTTATTGTTTTTAATAAACTTTTTAGTTTTATTTTATTATATTTATATATCTAGTCGGGCCTTATCTAGGACTATTTAGCAAATATTTTTAATATTACAGAATAAATAGATTGTACCAATCAAAATATACCTTCATATAAAGAAAATAATGGGAAGGCTAGTTTTTATTTGTATAAATTTTTATATATACTAGACTAGTACTAGTTTTAGTATTCAATACACAAGGCCTTAGGTGCCAACTGATGCCTGAAGCTAAGCTCTATATATAACACCAAGCACCATACCTTACCGTCCATTTCCGGTTAAACCGACAGGTACTACAGAGTACATGGTGCACACGTCCAGGATATTACTTCAGCTATCCACTAACGCATTGCTGGTTCCTGTCATTGCAGCCTTTGACTTCCTCTCCAGTATTCATAATTGGGTTCTTTAACACCTATGGCACTTCGACCAAAAACTTCTTTATCTTCGCGCAGCTCCCTATCACCTCAATTACTCCTTTGGTTGTAGATCCATCTTGGATAATGGATCCTCCTCAGGTGCAAGTTGGAGTGCCAGAGGATACTCATACTCCTCGAAACACACAGTCTCACAATGTCGAGAGTACAGCAACCCCAGATCATGAAATCAAGACAGCTTCCAAGGCGGTCAACGAATCGCAAACAGGCATAACGCCAGATATTGAAATGCATGATGCACGTTCAGCTCCTGAGCTCGAACAAAAACCACTAGAACCCAGGAGAAACCCCGGCATCCAATTTCTCGAGTAAGAACTCATCCTGTCTTCGTCTCTTGCTTTGATTTACATGCGCCTTCGGGTTGTCATTCAATGGCGCAACTGCTCGTGTCCGCAACTGCTGGGAGGCACTAGGTGCTTACGATATCATCCAGTTTTTTAACGTCACCCATAGTGGAACTCGTTCTTGGGACCGGACAGTCCAGGACTATCTTGACGGCTCACCAAAGTCTACTTTTGGAGTCTCCGCTTCTCGCGGAGAAGGTCGCAGCCTTCGGTGAACCTGGACCTGTAAGCACATATTTCCTTACCTGATTAATCTCTAGCAGTAACACCCACCGCTGACATATCCAAGCGGCGCATTGAGCTTCCCGCAGAAAATGTGGAAGCTTTCGGGTATTTTCTACAATTTCAGTACACGCGTGACTATTGTACCTCTCACACTGAAACTCACACCGAGCAAGAGACGGTACTCGGGGAGATTGACGACAGCGGAGAACAGTTACTGAAACACGCGCGGGTGTATACCTTGGCGGAGAAGTTGGGAATACCTTCACTGAAAGCTCTCGCACATTCGAAGATTCATCGCATCAACAGCACATCCCAAGGAGAAATTGCCTATGCGCGTTATGTATACACGAACACACCCGCTGATGATGTCACTATTCGTAAGCCTGTGGCCACCTTTTGGGCCTTGCGAAGCCATGTTTTGCGTCACGAGGCTGAGGAGGAATTTAAGAATTTATGCATTGATGTGCCTCAATTCTGTTATGACGTGCTCAGTCTTGTGTTAGATCACAAGGAGAAACGTGCACAGGATAGGGCAGAGGCAGAATCTGGGTTGAAAGGAAGCGGAAGGAAGCGGCTGCGCAGTGGTCTATGATTCCCCACAAGCTGGAGAAGAGCGCATAGGTACAAATAAAGCAGAGACTTGTTGCTCTATGAACAAGACCACTTCTTATTGCGATGTGCCTCAGTTCGACAAGTCATAGGCTGTCGTACTTCCCTCTTTGTCTAGTTCTTATATTCAATTGTAGTCCTCCAAATTCTGTTTTGAGCGCATATGCTATATACAAACAGCTAGTATTCATACTCGTATTGTTCTAATGATGTGACTATCGCGACTTCTTCATGTATAGACACATATGTACCAATTCAACTGGCATTAAAACCAGGGCTGGCCATGTTTCAATCAAAGCCTGGCGGTTGAACGGGCAGGCAAGATAGGACAGCCTGAAGGTAGAATGTCTGGCAAACATACAGTGTGAGCAACGCTCTATGAAGATAAAATTTCCACTTCTTCGACGGTCTTTGGTGCTGTAGTCAGGTTCTCGAATCCATCTTTCAGTATATGAATGTTATCCTCAATGCGCACCCCACCTACACTCCAATATTTCTCCAAGACATCAGTGTTTATATATTTGCTTGTTTCGGTGGATTCGAGGAAAGGTTCGATTATGAAGCGGCAAAAATAGATCTAGACAAGTTAGAAACACAATTTCAAGTGGTACCAGCGTATGGTCTTATACTTACACCTGGCTCTACAGTGATAACCGAACCAGCAGGCAAGCGACCCCTTACACGAAGATACTTGAACATCGTGTCTCCATCTTCATAATTCGGGTTGCCTCCAGTATCATGGGTGTCCATACCCAGATAGTGTCCCAAGCCATGAGGGAAAAATGCCACACTGATCCTCTTTTGCATCAGTTCGTCTTCGTGGCCACGAAGAATTCCCAGTTTCTTCAGTCCCTGAATAGCAATGCGGTGGGCATGGACGTGTACATCCTCCCACTGAACGTCTTCTTTCAGCATCTCGATGCATTCCGTCTGCATCTGCAAGACTAATTCATATATCTGGCGGGTTTCTAGCGGGAATTTGCCGGCCAAAGGAAAGACCCGTGTGATATCAGCACAATATGTGCTATACTCCCCTCCCGCATCTATCAAAACGCTGCCTTTTCTCTGTTTGGTGACGGGATCGGTTAAGTTAGTGTCATTCTTGCCATAATGAAGGGTGGCACCATTCTCGCCGCATGCAACGATTGGATGGTATGCTTGTTCGCGTGCACCGTGGGCGATGCATGTCGCTATGAAAGCACCCTCGATCTCGCGCTCATTTGTTGCAGTCTTGGAGGCTTTTATGGCCGCAATATGTGCCTTGGCGGAGATGTCGTTTGCCTTCCTCAGAAGCGCGACCTCATACTCATCCTTGACGACGCGGGATGCCCCGATGATACCTTTGAGTAAGGAGGTGTTGACCTCAGAAAAACCCTGGAACTCGGTGCCCTCAGAAACTTGGTCCTCAATCGCAAAAGCGATTACTTTTCCTGGGTTGTTCGAGGTGATCGAGGATAGGGTAGCGTTCACTGCAGGCGTAGGCAGCACATAGTCAACATCATAGCGCCTTTGCGCTTCTGCTGCAGACATCGGCAGGCCAGACCAGATCACATCCTGTGGATCAACTGGTGGGATAAAAAGTGTAAGTTCGTCGAGATCGATGTTGTAGATGAGACAGGAATCTGGTAGTAGACATCCAGATAGATAAAAGAACGATCGGCGTTGTCTGGTATGAAACGGTTGTTAGCCTTGGGAAGTCATAGAAGCTGGATTTCAGTGCTTCCCAGTACCTAAATGGCATGGCCTCGTCATTATCCTCAATGAGTCGAGTTTTCTGTGCTTCAAGGTAGATAATTCCGTGGCGGCCATTTCCATAAGATTGAAGGCCTTTGGCTACCCGGCGAGCGTGAGCTTTTGCAGGGTATTTACCTGCCAGAATTGATTCCAGGGAAGTCATGTTGGTTCTAATTGTGGTAGTGGTTCTCGGCAGATTGAGATTTGTTGAAGGCCGTGAGTCAGGAAAAGGCCCAACCGAAGAGCGGGGGACCATTTTGCGGGGTTCGTTTTCGAACCGGAGCCGTCGCTCGACCAACGAAGCCACAACGAGATTGCTTGGATTTCTACTCCGTACATCAAATTCTACGTGTTTGCGGGAGCTTTTGGAGACTTTAATTGCCCGATGTATTAGCATAGCGCCGTTCGCTCTGACTATCCACGTTTTAACTGGTTTTTTCTCTGGGGGAGGGGGGAGGGGAAGGAATGATCAGCATGATGGTGGCAAGCGAACATGTAAATCTTTATCTGAAAGTATCGCTCCCTTGACTGGCGCCAATAGTTACGTCTTCATAATCCAACTCCCAATTATCAATATCCGCAAATTTCCGTGCCTGTACTCTCAATTCCTCGCTGAGATACCTATCTTTGAGCAATTCAGATCCCGATGGCATACTTGAGCGATAGGCATGTGAAACGGGCGGCGACGATAGAGGCGAGGACAAAGGTGACGAAGAAGGTGACGACAGAGGTGACAGGGGACCCTCCTGAGATGCATTGGTAGTTGCAGAGGGGAGCCGATCAACTCCCAGTCTTGTATTCTTGTCGTTTTGAGTTCGACGACGATTCCTCTTTCTTGAACCAACTATGACAATTGTTGGCTGCTCTTTTTGTGGGTTATCATGAGATTTTGGAGGGCCCGGCTTGCCAACGTGTCTTCGATGTGCCCGGTGGGGCGTCCCTGGTGGGAGGTCACTCTCATGATGCTCCATTTCGGAACAGCTATCATCACTCAGCCCGCTCTGTGTCTCTAAATTGGGACCCCAGCATTGGCGCCGGATTTTTATTCTCCGAGGTAGCAGTTCATTCTGGAGGGCCACCGTGGATAAAGTCTTGCACACGTTGCTTCGCTCAGCTGTAATTTCCAGCGCAATTTTGGAAACAGCTAGAGGCTGTTCACCATAGGTCAGCGAAGGCGTAATTGTAGGGCTCATGAAAGGACTGCTGCTCATAGGTGGCGCCATTGTTGCGCTCGTAGCCTTAGAAGACATGCGAGGCTGGGATAAGCGTATTGGGGTTTCATCTTGTTGCCCCATTATCATCGTAGGAGGCGAGTGTCGCACTTCTTGCGGACGTGATGCAGAACAAGTTTTCCCAGAAGAATGTGTACGCTTGCGCTGTTTGCTGCTGGAAGGAGATGATAGGCCTGGTGAGGATGATGCGGCGTGCCCCGCGATGAGTGACTTCCCCCTTGAAATATCCAAGGGTGTGGACTCGTCCTCGGGACTTAGTCCTCCAAGAAAGTCCTCATCATCCAGATCTGAAGAATCGTCATTGGCTTGCATCACATGGAGAATGCTAGGCTGCCGTGGCCGTCTTCTGAAATTGCTCAATATCGAACTCTCGTAGGCAGGAGTACCTGGAATCCTCGAATTCCCATCACCTTTCCGTCCGACGATGGAGAGAGTAGATGAGTATCCGCGAGCCCTTGTCATTGGACGACTGCTACCTACTCCACGCTCTTCCAGAGGTGATGATTCAATTGCATAATCATGAGATTTGACTACAGGTGTCCGGTCTTTTTGATGCAGCGCGAAATCAGACACTGGGTGCTGTGTCATCCGCAAGACAGCCGGCGATTCACGGCTTGAGCTATTTGCAGTATGCTTCGTCGACCCAGCAACTTCCCTGACATGTTGAAGATCTTTGTTTTCAGCCTTCGAAATTCCAAGCGTCGGTCGATTACGCTTAGTAGGGGGTCTCGGCATGTTTTCGTCGGACGATAGGCTTTTCAGAAAGCCAGATATACGGGCTAGGCCTTCGTAGTCACTTGTCGATTCAATCAGATACTAGGAGTTATACCAGTGACGGCGGTAGGTTGGTGCACAGCTAAGAATCAAATGCCGTTTGAATCCCTGCCTGATAAATAAGAACAGGACGTGCTGAGAACGCGTGCGCGTGCAACCAATTTTGAGGGATTAGATTTTTGAAGACGCAGACCCGAAGCTTATAAACTGAGATTTTCCGTTTCTCTTCAAGAAGAACACTTCGATGGACTTAAAATAGGAATAGATACGGAGTACACCGTGCCATAATATGTTTATGCTTCGATGTAGCTGTATTGTGGTTGCAAATCGGCTGTACTGCTTTTTAGCGTCGCGCAGCACGGAAACCACTCACCGCCTAAAGCTATGGTATAATTTCTTTATTACCTTATTAATACAGTATAACTATATCTGTAAGGGCTTTTTAGTCTATAGTTTTTAATAAGATTTAGTACAGTGGGAGGAAAGTAGTCTGCGTACTCCCCCCACCAAATTGTTTGGTTCCAAGCGCCACTTTGCGCAGCAGCGCCTTCATAATTGCTCTCGTTAACAAAAATATATGGTACAGCATATTATACAAAGTATTGTGGATTTGGCGGTGGTGGCTTTTGCCGGCAGAATAAGGGTATAACCAGTCCTAAATAGGAATGAGACGAACTCCTTGTGGAGGAAGTACGCAGACTACTTTCCAGGGACTGTAACATATCTATAAAAGCCTTCTAATCTATATTATTTTCGTATAAAGTACAGATTTGAAAGTACTTTCTAAGTACTTAATACAAATAACTAGTCAAGAATTATTTCATGACTATTTTACCGCTTAATAACTACTTAATCTAACGTAATCGGCAAGCGAGTCGGCCACGTAAGCGAGTTGGCCACTCCATCAACCACCACCACGCCTATAAAACTGCCTGTATACAGACATTAATTTCTCTACCAAAAATGCCTTAATTATTAAAAGTCTCAGTGGAATAAGAAGGCAGGCTCTACCCTATAATTAAGGCTATTTAAAAATATTATATTTGCTTAATTTAAAAGGCTGCAGATACTTTTAAAGTTCTGTATTTAACTTTTTAAAATTATTTAAATAGGATTATATACTGTAAAGAAATATATACTAATTGCTATAAACTAACTACTTTAGAAAAAGAATTACTTATTAAATAGATTATATTACTAGATTAATACAGTGTACTACCAAGGCAACTTTATATATATAATATAGTATTAATCTTAATATATAAATACAGCAAAAAATCAACTAATTCGGTGGGCGAAAAATAGGTATATAACTTTATTTTTTAGTATTATAATTTTTTAGTCTTAGTTTATATGTTAAATTAGTAATAAGTATATAAAGTATACGGATTCTAAGATTATACAGACCTAGTTTTAATATATATAAACTGCTGTTACTATATATAGAATTATAGATATAAATATTTATAATCTTAATAAAACTAGCTTTGCTATAGGCTTAGTAGCTGTAGTTAAAATAGTAATATATTTTTTTTACTAAAAAAATCTTTTTTTATACAGCTGGAAAACTATAAATAGATAATTTTAATTAATTATATTAATACTATAGAATAGGTATTACTAGTATATATAATATTAAAGACAAAAACTTATATCTAGATATAATATAAAGGCAATTTATTTTTATAGTATATTATAATATTACTAAATAAATAAACAAATTAAAAGATTAGTAAATACTGGCTTAAAAAATACTTTATTTTTTATATAAAAAAACCAAAGACTGGCTAATATAGTCTTTTTAATTTTAACAGATATAACTCTTATTTAATATTTTAATTTAATAATATATATTATAAGAATTATAATATTTTAGTATATATACCGGCTAATTTTTTTATTTTTATCAGCTGTTAGATATAGCTGTATTTTTAGTATTAAAGTAAGTATACAGCTGCTGGATTAAATATTTTATATAAACTAGATATTACTTTATTAATAAGGTTGATTTTTTAATATATATCTAGATATTTATACTTAAGTATTTGAATCTATAAATATATAAAGTAACTTTAAGATTTTAGAAATTGTTTTTTAATCTAAGTAAGATTTTAGATAATTTTATTTTTTATAAAAAAAGAAGCCGGCTAAGCAGCCAAAAAACTACTTTAATTATTACTAAAATACCTATAAATTTAAAGTAATTTAAAAAAATATAAATCAGTAATATTTTTATTATTTTAATACTTTAATTCTCCGGCTTTATCTATACAAACTGCCTTATTATATATTATTAAAAATATAGAAATAATATTAGATTAAACAGTTTTTTTAAAATATAAAAACTATAAACTTTATATAGCTGTTAAAAGAAAGAATACTAAGCAGAGGTAGAATTAGTATTAAATAAATAGTTTAAATAGCTATATAATTTAGAAAGCCTATAAAGCCTTTATAAATATACAGACTGTAGAAAAAGCAGCTGGTAATATAAAGCTATTAAATAGATTTTATTCTAATAATAATTAACTAGTTTATAAAAATATACTATTTTTTAGTATTATATATAATTTAAATAGAAGAACTGGCCGAACTGTTTTATTAAAAATATAAAAATTTAAATATAAAGTTTTTTATAATATTATTATAAACAGAGGCTTTCTGTTTACCAGTTAATTTAATCTAATCTTTACTATTAAACTAAAATTAAATAATAGTTATTAATAGTATTTTATTTTTAAACCAATAGCTTAATAAAAAAGCAAACAAGATATTTAAATACTATTTAAAATATTTTATAACTAAAAATTAAAACTATTAGATAAATCTATTTAGTAAAACTAAGTTTACTTATAATAATTATTTGAATATATTTATAAAAATAATATTTTTTAAAGTTTTAATAGATTTTTTTTAAATTTAGATTTTAAATTAAAAATAATTCTATAAAAGTAAAGGTACTATTAATATTAAAAAGACTAAAAAAGTTAAATAGTTTGTAAAAAAAAACTAAAAAAGATTAGTAAAAAATAAATGAAATCTAATTATCTTACTATAATAGCTGTTACAGTATACTATTCTTAAAAAATAATTAAATAATTTATATTTTTGAATAAAAAAATTTAGTTAAGCTATGTACTGTAAATATTAAGTTTGTAAAAACTTTTTAAAAGTTGATTTTAAAATTTATAAAATCTTTTAGAATTTTAAAAACTATAAAAAAATAAGTATTTTATTTATATCTTTCTAATAAATATATTTAGTTATATAATATTTTATATTATACTACTGGAATTTAAAAAAGTTAGAAAAAATATTTCTTAAACTTTACTAATACTAGACTTAGATAATAATAAAAAAATAAAAGATAAAATAGGTATTAGATAACCTATACTGTCAAGGTGCGGGCTGGCTGGGTGGTAGGAATAGCAGAGCTGACTGGGAAGGTATTAATAACTTGTTTTCTTTATTCTTAACTGGCTACTTGGGTCAGGCTATTCTTAGATTTATAAATAAAATATAGCTTAAAAAGCTACAAACAGAATTAGAAGTAGACAGAAGGTTAAGCAGATCAGGGGTTATATAGTAAAGCAGTCGGAAACAGTAGATTATTAAATAAAATAAATAAAATAGATATAACAGATAAAACAGATATAACAGATAAAACAGATAAAGTAGATTAAATAAGTATACTAGATCTGTACTGTAACTGTATACCCCTTTTCTAAAGCTAAACTTTATTAAAATATAGACTGTAGCTTATAAAAATAATAGCAGTAAAAGTTTTTAACTATTTAATAGATATTACTTAGATATTTAGCAGGCTTTGTAGTAGGGTCCGGATACCTTATTTTTTTAATTATATAAATTAAATAAGGGCGGCCGCATCCTCTGCATTTTATAAAAAATTATAGATATTTTTAACTTTCTACTTTTTAAGTTTGTTAATTTTTATATACAGTAGCGGCAGCTGGTGCTGTTTTAATAAAAAATCCTTACTAGCTGGAATTAGTAAACTAGTATAAAATATAGGGTATATTTTTATACTTAGTAGATATTAAATTAGTAGTACTTTTAGATTAACAGCTTATATATATATACTTTTTTAGGGTGTTTAAAGACTGATTTATTATAGGCTAGCTGGATCAGATCGGCTCTAATCTATTTATTATTAGATATTTATAATTAGTTTTTATAAAATAAAAGACTTTCTTTTTTTATGTAAGGCTAGTAATATATCTGGGTAATAATCCTTATTAGTAGCTAGGGCTTTTAATATTTTTTTAATCTATTTATTTTTTTTATATATAGTACGGAGCGGCTTTTATATTTTAGGCAGTAGTTGCAGGTTTTACTTATCTTTAAAAATTATATCTTAGGCTCTGGTAATTAGGGCTAGTATTTTAATCTATTTTAGAAAATTATTATTTTTAGCTTATTTAAAGGATTATTTTATTTCTACTTTACTATTATTTTTACTTTCTAATAGGGTCGGGGGTAGTATTAGTAAGCAGATAGAATTAATTCTTTTTATTTTAGGATTACTTAGCTTTAGTATAGCAAGTATTTATTCCCTTTTTTTAAAAGATTATTTAATCTTCTGGTTAGGCTGTTAGATTTAATTTTATATTTTTCTAGTTGGTAGATGATTTTAAAGTTAAAGTAAAATAAAAATTCTAACTATCTAGCTTATTAGCAGTTTAATAATTTAGTAGATATAAAATATTTTAGATTATAGTAGTCTAATATAATCTGTATTAAAAATAGTATTTTTTTAATTTAAAGTACTACTTTTTAAAGTAGTAGATAATAGTAAGTAGTTTTTTATTATAAATCTTATAGTTGCATTCGGCTGGTATATATTTTTTAGAAAAATAAATAATTAAATATAGTATTCTATTATTTTTATACTAGAATAGAATTTTTTTTAAGATAAAGTTGGAGGTATTAGTTTCTACTATAATATTATAAATCTAATTAAACAGCTGTAGAACGGGGGCTGCAGTAAAAGTATTTTTTAAGTTTTTAAATACTTTCTAACAGGCGGGGGACCAGTTAAATAAAATATTTTTTTATTAATTATATAAATAGTATAGTTAGTTTAGAGAAATCTTTAATAAACTGGTAGTAAAAATTACTAAAGTCTAAAAAAACTTATATATTAGTTATACAACTTAGAGTTGGCTATTAAACTACTATTTTTATTTTTTTTAAATTCATTCTAAACCTATTACAGCCTATTATTAGATTTAAGAACTTTGTTTCTAGTACAGTAAATTTATA